CCCCCCGCCCCTGGGGGGGGGGGGGGGAGAGGACCACTGTTAGGTTACATTTGATCAGGTGGTGATCTGACCATGACAAGGGGACTGACACTAGGTCCGTCACTATCAGACCACTCTCGCCCCAATTGGAGGAAAAAACCAGGTCTAGAGTGTGACCACCCACGTGGGTGGGGCCGTTGACATGCTGGGACATGTTCAAGGAAGCCATGGTTTCCAGGAACTCAAGAGCTCACAAGACATCTTAAGACATCTTAAACATCTTGTCTTTTTATTTTAAAACAGGGCTCACATGGTGCAGGTGATGAATATCTAAATCTAATCCTCTGGTTGAAGAACGAGGACACATGCCCTGCACGTTTGAGAAGTATTCAGGAGTCCCCTCCACAGATTCAGCCTCCATGATGTGAAGGGAGTGTTTTAGCCCTTCTTTCCACATGTCGAAACTGTGGCACTTGCAGGGCAGACAAAATAGCCACCACCACCTCAGTTACCCAAGTTATCCAAGACTGGGGCAAACTCACATTCACACAGACGTGTGTCATGTTTCCACCTACTTTCATCCTCAGCTTCTGATTCCCCCCCCCTTCTCACTCATTCTCTCCTTCCTTAAAAAACAACAGCAGTTTTTTCCTTTCATCTTGTGCTCTTTGCTGAGCAAACCCAAGACAAAATAGTTATATATGAGAGGTTCTGGTAGCAGAAAAGGATGTTGCCCTCTTAGCAGAACACGACTCACCAGAGTCTTTCCTTACAAGAAAAAACGGCTGATGGAGGGGTGGTGCAGGCTGCAGGACTGCGCATCTCTGCCATGGAAGGGTCTGGCTTACAACCTTCCCCTAAATCTGGCTTACAATCTTTCCCCAAATTGTTCGCTCAGAATGTTAACCCTGCCCACTATTCCTGGAAACGAGATTAACAATATGGCATGAAGGCAATGCCTCACAGACGTATATCCACTCCTTCCCCACATTAATACGAGGAAGTGAAGGCCTAACTGAAACTGTTCCCTGCTTCATAGACCCGGTGATCAAGCCCTTGCATTTCCCTTAAAAAATCAGTGAATTACAGAGTACTCCAAAGGAGTCATTCCTTCCCTGAAGCTGGAAACATGCATGGGCAGAGAGCCAAAATACCCAGCCTCAAAAGCACCATTTCCTTTAAGACAGAAGCATGTTAGGAGAGGGCTGAGCTGGTGTTGTATTTTTATTTTTTATTTTTTTGAATAACAGGGCGATGGTTACATGCAATGATTCATTAAATATCACAAGGTAATTTGAACCAAAAAGGGAAAGAAAAGGACTCACACTGCAGTGTCTCCATTTAGCCATGTCCAGGGCTGACCTGGGGATCTTCTGAGGCCAATCCAGAAGGCGTCCTTCCCTTTGAGAAGGTGTATAAAATCCTGTAATGATGAGAGAAGGCATCTCTTAAATCCTTCAATGGCTACATCACAAGGCCAAGAGCACAGCAACCATATATCATGTAAGAGTTGGCTAATAACAGTTATAACTATTTTCTAACACCCTGCTAATTGTGGGCTTCTTCTTCACCATCGCAGCATATATATGGGGCTACCTCAGTAGACTGCTGACTAGAAGGACAGATCCTGAAGCTGAGATTCCAATACTTTGGCCATCTCATGAGAAGAGAAGAGTCCCTGGAACAGACCCTGATGTTGGGAAAGTGTGAAGGCAAGAGGAGAAGGTAACAACAAGACGAGATGGTTGGACACTAAAGAGGAGAAGGGGACAACAGGACGAGATGTTTGGACACTATCATCAAAGCTACGAACTTAAATCTGACCAAACTCTAGGAGGCAGTGAAAGACAGGAGGGCCTGGCATGCTCTGGCCCATGAGGTCATGAAGAGTCAGACATGACTAAACAACAACAACAACAGTAGACCCATTGTTTCAAGCATCAACACCATCACAGTTGGATGGTGGACTCCATCCTCAAGCCTTATGCCATCAATGTACCTAGTTAAGTAAAAAATACCACAGATGTCCTAAGGAAACTTCACTCCACACGCAAACTCCCTGGCAACACCACCCTAGCAACAATGGATGTAGAGCCATTCTATACCAATATTCCACATGAAGATGGACTACAAGCTGTCAGAAACACCATTCAAAACAAGGAAGAAGCCCACATAATCCCCACCCTTTCTGACTTTGTACTCACACACAACTGTTTCACTTTTGACAATAAAACCTACCTCCAGATCAATGGAACTGAGATGGGCACACACAGCTCCACAAGATGTAAACATATTAATGATTGACCTGGAACAATGCTTTCTCAATTGCTGCACCCAAAAACCACTCCTCTATTTGAGGTACACTGATGACATTTTATTGATCTGGACTTATGGAAAGGAATCCTTAGAAAAAGTCCATTAAGATTTCAATTTTTTTTACCCAAACATCAACTTTGCCTTGGAACAGTCTATGCAACAGCTGCATTTTGTAGATACTGCTGTGAGATTACAACATGGATATCTTAGCACCACACCACACCAGAAATTCACAGATTGATACACCTACTTGCACTCCTCCAGCTTCTATCCTGAAGACATACAGACTAAACCCATATGTGTGTATTCACAAAGGCCACGAAGAAGAATCCATTGTGTACAGCCAAGCCCTTAGATGCACACACATCTGCTCTGACCCACAAGAGAGAGACTCCAAACTCAATGATCTACAAAATGCATTTCTCAGACTACAATACCCACCCCATATGCTAAAGGAACAAGTCAACAAAACAAGACACATTGCCAGTAATAACTTACTGCAAGACAGAGCAAGATGACAAGATAACAGAACACTGCTAGTTGTCACTTACAGTCCACAACTGAGACCACTCATACACATCCTAAGTGATTTCCAACCCATCCTTGACAATAACATTTCACTCTCTAAAGACCTTGGTGGGAGACCCATACTTACCTACAGACAACTCCCCCAACCTAAAGCACCAACCTCAAGCAAACATTAACACATAATGGACCACAAAACAGCAACACAGAGAGGGGCTAAATCCTGCCACAGACCCAGATACCAACTGTCCACACATCTTTATTCTGGCAACACAATCATGGGACCTGACAACAGTCAGACACAATATCAAAGGCACCTTCACTTATTCCTCAGCTAAAGTGATCTATGCCATCTTTTGCCAACAATGCCCCTCTGCACCCTATGTAGGACAAACAGGACAATCTCTACAGAAACAGGTCAAGGGTCACAAATCAGACATCAGGAACCACAATACACAGAAATCTGTCTCCAACCATTTTCAGTCTACCAGGACACTCTATAGAAGATTTGGAAGTCACTATTTTTAAAACGGAATCATTACAAATCAAGAATACGGAGGGAAGCAGCTGAAATAAAATTTATATGCATGATGGACCCCCATAGAAACAGTGTATGAGTAGACCATGAAACCTTACATTAAAATATAATAGTTAAGTCACCACATGTTTTTGTATTTATTTTTGTTTGTTTGAATTTTGCCTGATATGGGGCTTAGGCGATACATTTTACAAACAAAATGAAAAGGACTCTACCATCTCTTCATCTGTAATCCTTGCCAAGGAAGCATCATGGGAAAAGCAGAAGTCCTTCCTTTACCTATTTTAGAACAGAATCATTACAAATCAAGAATACGGAGGGAAGCAGCTGAAATAAAATTTATATGCATGATGGACCCCCATAGAAACAGAGTATGAGTAGACCATGAAACTAAAATATAATAGTTAAGTTACCACATGTTTTTGTATTTATTTTTGTTTGTTTGAATTTTGCCTGATATGGGGGGCTTAGGCGATACCTTTTACAAACAAAATGAAAAGGACTCTACCATCTCTTCATCTGTAATCCTTGCCAAGGAAGCATCATGGGAAAAGCAGAAGTCCTTGCTGGAAGTCCAGTTTTTTTCTCCCTCTGAAAAGTAATAGCACTTTCTCTGATACCAAAACCAATGAGGTGGACATGGAGGAGAATGGCGTGGAAGGGGAACATCACCACCGGATGGCTCCTTGTTTAGACACACTAGAACTGAGAAAGGAACACAGAATTAGAGACCATCTTCAAAGGTACTGGTGGAGCAGGGAGGAACTTTGAAGCAGGAGGCCAGGGCCCCAAGCATCAGAAGGAGGGTCCCCAAATCCAGCAGGGCTGGTTTATCCTATCAAAGTAAGTGGCATAAGATCCCAAACAGGGTTAGTGCATAAAGATGTGGGCTACTTACAAAGTACAAGAAAGATGAGGCACAAGACAGCAAGTAAAACAATTGAAGATCCAACTGCCACCTTCTTGGTAAACACTAAATAAAAAGAGAAAACCACACTTATCATTACATAAGAACATAAGAAGAGCCCTGCTGAATCAGGCCAAGGACCCATCTAGTCCAGTTTCCTGTATCTCACAGGGGCTCCGCCAGAGGCCTCTGGGAGAACACGAGACCACTAGATCCCTGTCTCCTGATCCCCCTCCCCTGTATCTGGCATTTGGAGGTACATTCATTTGAATCCTGGAAATTATGCATCCCCATCATGGCTTATAACCTCCAATGGACTTTTCCTCCAGAAATCTGTCGAATCCCCTTTCAAAGGCATCTAGACCAGATGTCATCAGCACATCCTGTGGCAAGGAGTTCCACAGACTAACAAGATGCTGGGTAACAAAATATTTTCTTTGGTCTGTTCTCACTCTCTCAACACTCAATTGGAGTGGATCTCCCCTGGTTCTGGTATTGCATAAGAGGGGGAAAAAGTTTCCCTCTATCCACTTTATCCATCCCCTGAATAATTTTAGACGTCTCAATCAGGTCCCCCTTAAGGGTCCCCCTTCAGGCGCCTTTTCTCTAGACCAGAGAGCCCCAAACACTGTAGCCTGTCCTCATAAGGGAGGTGCTCCAGCCCAGTCACCATTTTAGTCACTCTTTTTCTGTACTTTTTCCAGTTCCACAATGTCCTTTTTTGGGGTGCGGCAACCAGAAATGTATGCAATACTCCAGGTACGGCCTTATCAGCCTTTTGTACAATGTCATTATAATATTGGCTGTTTTATTTTCAGTCCCCTTTTTAATGATACCTAGCATGGAACTGTGTGGGTGAAATTCTGAGAAAGAAGAAGATTTCAGGGGTGACTTGCTGTCTGAGTGGGAGAAGATGCTTCATCCCAGCATTCTAGTGGTTGTGTGTGTTACATTCCTGCATGTTTTTAAAACCTTGTTGTTAATATGTTTATATTGTTGTTATGTTCCATTACGTCATCTCCAACTTATGATGATCGATCTCAAAAATGTCCTATCCTCAACAGCCCTGCTCAGATCTTATAAACTCAAGGCTGTGGCTTCTTTTAAGGAGTTAATCCATCTCATATTTGGTCTTCCTCTTTTCCTACTGCATTCAACTCATCAAAGCTGTGCTGTACAGGCACCACAGAAAAACGTAAAGTACATTCAAGTACAGAAGAAATAGAAGAAAGACGTCCTGTGTAGGCTATGAGTGAAGGCACCCCTTTTTGAGGCCATGCAAACAAAGTAAAACAGTCTGTGCTGAGGGCCTCAGTGTCTCTCTCTCTCTCTCTCTCTCTCTCTCTCTCTCCTCTTTGGGTTATTCTGGTAAACCCAAAAGGGCTTGCATTTCTCATGTTCTCTAGTTCTCATTCAGATCTCTGGCTCTGGACCATGTTAAGCCCTACAACACCCTCAAAACTACTCCAAAAAACCGGCGTCAAGGCAACAAGACAATCGTCTGCTCCAAAAGTAGGCAACACAAGAAGGCATAAGAAACAAATGAGTGTGCGGTCGGCAAATTCCACCCCATCCCGTCATAGTAAGTATCACCAGCAGGAAACAATACAGACGGCAAAGAGAGGCAACCCCAGATCTCACCGTCACCAGACCTATGGCCGCCTGAATGAGGACATCTAAATGAAATACTGTACGATAGTTTCGCTACCCTTTCTTTCGGATTCCTGACTCTACCATATTTGAAAAGCTGACTATCGTAAAGAGAGGAAAGACTCTGAAAATGAACAAAAGTTTCTCTGCTGTGTTTTTCCCCCCCTCCCACTCCAAAAGTCCTGTCCATAAGCAAGACTTCTCTTGTCATCCATGCCAGTGCTTTCACATTAAGATATGTTCAACAGTGTGGGACCTCGGCCCCTGGCAGAATGGGTTCTGCCTGCCCTACATGTTTGTCCCAGGCAGGGCAGTTGAAGACCTTGACCCCAAGAGAGGCCCAGAACAAAAAGACCAGCAGCTGAGCCTTCTCAGTGGTGGCACCACATCTGTGGAATCCACTTCTGAGCAATATTCACCTGGCCCCTTCACTACCACTTTTAAGAGATCGCTGAAAACATGGTTGTTTAGATAGGCCTAAATTCCATCAACACAATGCAGTCTTCTTACCAGTTCTTAAGCCAATGACTCTGCCATCTTGATCTTTTTCATTAAAAGTCATTATTTTGCTATGTATTGCATTTTTAAGTTTATAATGATCTTAATTCATAATGTTTAGCATAAGTTTGTCTCTTTATATTAACTCATATGTACAGTATGTGATTTGATTTGATGATGTTGTAAACTGCCCAGAGTGGCCGTGGTAGCCAGATGACAAGTCTATAAATTGTTATTGTTTAGTCATTTAGTCATGTCTGACTCTTTGTGACCCCATGGACCAGAGCATGCCGGGCCCTTCTGTCTTCCACTGCCTCCCGGAGTTGGGTCAAATTCATGTTGGTGGCTTCGATGACACTGTCCATCCATCTCGTCCTCTGTCATCCCCTTCTCCTCTTGCCTTCACACTTTCCCAACATCAAGGTCTTTTCCAAGGAATCTTCTCTTCTCATGAGATGGCCAAAGTATTGGAGCCTCCGCTTCAGGATCTGTCCTTCCAGTGAGCACTCAGGGTTGATTTCCTTCAAAATGGATAGGTTTGTTCTTTTTGAAGTCCTGGGGAATCTCTAGCACCACAATTCAATTCTTCAGCAGTCAGCTTTCTTTATGGTCCAGCTCTCATTTCCATTCATCACTACTAGAAAAACCATAGCTTTCACA